GAGAGAGAGGGAGGGAGAGAGAGAAAGCAAGCTGCCAGGTCCAGGACTTGAACCATGGTCGGCCATATGGGAATCCAGCGCCTTTAACCACCATGCCACCTACCGGCCCCAGGTATCAGAGATCTTACCATCAGGCCATCTTAACTATTTTTAAGTGCACAGTTCAATGGCGATATATATGTATGTGTATACACATATATATGGCATTATATAAATATATATAATACAAGAACATGACAAATAAGTTTATGTATTTGTGCTGGATATTTTGAATATGAGAAATCATTTGTGCTTTGTTCTGCCATCTTTGACAGATATTTCCAGTGAATAAGCAAGATCAGTAGTGAAATGCAGGTCTAAAACACATTTAACATATAGATACAATTGGCCCTCTTTATCCGTGGGTTTCACAACTGTGCAATTGTGGTGTGGTTTTACTGTTTGATTCTTCAACATATTTAGATGGTGTGTTTGACATGATAAACACTTAGTATAACGTTTGAGTCATCCATGTTGTAACATGTAGTGGTAACTCACTACTGAGTCCATATTAAAACAAAGAAAGCTTGAATGCTCAGAAACGTTGGGCTAGTCATGTTGGTCATTTAGGGCCTGGAGTCCCCATTTTTAAGTGTTAGGACTTCAATATGCCTTTATTTGGGGCGAAGGAAGTGGATAAGAGAAAGTCAACTTACAATAGTAACACTTTGAAAAAATTCGGTTTGTAAAACTTAATAGCATATCTATCACTGAATGCATCTAACTGTAACTATACATATAAAGGGAAAAAAAATGTTTCTCTTCCTCACCACTGACATTTGAGTTTTATGGTGCATGAGCACAAAGAACAATCATAACAAGCTTGAACCTTTGGCTCTCAGTCCCATGTGGTCTGAGATTCTGACACCTGCAGTTATTATTTAAATAATAGCTTTCAGTTTGGGGGAAAAAAATCTATTCAGTGCCTGGAATGAGATACTGTAAATTTAAAATGTTTTATCCTGCCTGGTACTGCCCAGGACCAAACTCGGAGAACGGGATGTGGCACAGGTTTTTAAAAAGTTGGAATGTCAGAATGTGAAGCTATAATCACAGGACGGGGATTAACTGATAAGATTACTTGAATTCCCACACCTCAGAGAAGTAAGAGATAGCTTTGGCTGGCAGCTAAAAGAGTTGATGATCAGTCACTATGAGGAGAGAGCAACAGAAGTGAGCTCGAGTTGCCTGCTAGGTCAAACGTACACAGGTTTGCTGAGAATATAATCCTCTAACAGGACAGAGGAACCTGAAAGGACTCCCTGCAGTAAAGTTCAGAAGACTCTTCCTTCGGCTCTCCATCCCCTCCATGGTCATTTTCGGGACCCCAGAAGGGCAGGCCCAGCTTCCAGTCCAGTCTTTAGAGAGCACATGCCCACAGCTTCCAAGTGCACTACCTTCTCCCATTTGCAGTCAGCCTCGCCCCTTTTGAAAGGCTCCTTGTCTCAACTCGTATCCCTGTCGAGCCTCCTTCACCCTCCTCCACCCATCTGTTTGTCCTTCCACCTGATTTGGTTCTTCCTGGGGACCCTTGGAAACCCCTGCCAGCATCAAAGTAACTAAGTGTCACTCGCACTCCCACCTCACGTACTTAACCAAAACCTGGAACCCCAGGATAACACCGCTCCGCTGGCTGCCTGTCCTCTTCCATCTGCGAGACCTCTCCTCACTGCGATCTGGACTGTAAGAGACCTGGAAGAAAATGGGTCGCACTTCTTTTCCCCAGGCCTTTTTCTAGATCACTGTGACCCCTAGTCCTTCACCTCGTCATAGTTTTAGCTGTTGGCAGAATCCTCATTCGTCCCACAACTCCAAACTCTTCTACCAGGACGGCTTGGCTCACCAGATGGTTCCCACACACAACTCAAGAAGCCTCAAACCCAGCCCTTTGACTTTCCTGTCACAGCGATGCCGCCATCGCCCCACCAGGCCCTAGGAACTAGAACTGTTGTTCCCCTTTGACTCTGTCCTCTCCCTCAGTAATCGCTCCAGCCTCAGAGAAGCCATACGGGCCACGTAGCACACAGAGCCTGGCAGAGCACTCCAAAATGTAAGCTATTATTAGCTACTACATGCAGTCTTCAAAATATTCATGGAAAATGCATGTTATAAAAGTACCATTCGTAGATTTCCATTTTTTTTTTGCACCAAATGAATTCATAGTTAAATACTATTTTTTTTTCCTACTAAGTTTTTGAAGTTCCCTTTTATTATGCCCAGTTTGAGACATGAAGAGGAAGGGCTGAACTGATTATGTATATACCACCTGTCCTTTCTGTTCCACTTGCTGTTCCTGTATCCATGCCCACGACTGCATAGCTGGGGTAGAAAATCTGAGGCCACCTCCTGGTCTCCAGTCCCTTCCCCTACTCCCTAATCTTCTTAGAAGCCAAGAGTCAGACACAGTAAGGAACACTGTAACTCGGACGGTCTGCCTCTTGTCCTCACCTCCAAACATTTCGAGCTCTTGAGGAGAACGAGGCCAGCAGACCAACGCTGAGGGGAAGCAGTCTTCTTCAAGGTCTGGTCTGTATCAGGAATCAGGAGTTGAAGCAGTTCAGTTCAGCGTGTCATGAACATGGACTGGTACGTTGCTCGAGGCAGAATGATGTGTGTACACAACTGCACTGCACTGTGGAGTGTAGTTTGGAATTTGGATTGTGTAAAACGCACGCTTGACTGAGGGTGTCACGTACTTCACAGGTCCTGATGGGGCAGTGCAGAAGAGCCTGTGAACGTCCATTCTGGGCCCCTCAGTGACCCTTTTGAAATATTCTGGACTCTTCTCATTAGGCCAAATGAAGACTTCTTTATGACTATGCTGCCGGTATAAAAAGATGCACATTAGATGTCAGCAACTAGCACATAACGCGTTTGTTCTGTGCGAGCACAGCAATCCACTTAGGAACTAGTACGTTCTGCAGAGTACCGAATGAACCCCTCAGGTGCTGTCTTATGCCACAGAGCCGCCAACTTTGCCACAGGATGGCCTTTCTTGCTTAGGATTACTTTTGTTACTCTTCACGAACTTCAGGTAAATCAGAAGAGAAGTACAGTGTGAAATTAAGCGCCCCTTTGTGTTCGCGTGGCCTTTATTCCTGTGGGTGGGACCCTTACGGCAGGCCTTGCAGAGGAAGAAATATCTATCCTGGACCTTGAGAACCAGAACGTCTTACACGCCCTGGTTGCCCTCGCTCAGTGTCACTGAATCGAGTGGCCCCAGTCCTTCTGCATTTCTCTGTGCGGGCCACTCTGTACCCACCTGTTCAGAGCACCTCCCCTTCCTGGGTCTTGGTAAATGAGGGCCAGAGCCTTCTGGGCTGACGCTAAAGGAGCCTAAGCAGAGTTGTCCTCCCATATTTGTTCAAATGATGTCCCTTCACTTAGGGAAGAAAGAAATTCCGGTCTAGACCACCAGCAGGTGGGAGGTTGCTGTCTCGGGGTGACCGGCCTAGTGGTGGAGCCAGACAGCTCTTGATTCTCCCAGCAGTAAAGGTCTTCAGTTGAAAGAGCTCACTGGTTATGTGGCCCTCTGTAGCCCGGTTTCCTTCTCTGTAAAATGGGGATACCGGGTCACGTGGCAGGGGTGGGTACTGAGCTGGTGTTAGTTTCCTGGCGGTCTTCTACACCTTCCCCCCAATTCTCTGCCACACCCTTAGGAAAGTCTCTGACAATGAAGCCGGAGGAAGTATTTCCTCTATCCCGGGCTGTCTTTTTCCTTAGCTCTCACAGAAGCCAAAATTCGAAATCATGTCTTCCCTCTGTCCCCTCCACCTCATAGCCCAGGCTCAGCCCTGCTATGGCGGCCACACAGCGAGGAGGCCAGCACAGGACTCTGGGGACTCGCCTTCCTCCCCTCTGCAGCTCACCTTGTCACCTCTGCCCTAAGCTGAGGGCCCTCTCTGGAGTGACAGTAAACTGTCTCAGGAGAGGGCCCAGATACTCCACCCCCATCTTCTCCCTGCTCCATTTCACCCCCACCAGCACCCCACCACCACCTACGCACGACCCTGGGGGTGACCTTAGCGTGGCTTCCTGAGGAACACCCAGGTCAAGGTGCAGCCAAGGAAGGGCGGGGACTGGTTGGTCGCAGGCCGCCAGACTTCCAGCTAGAGGATTTTAGCCCGAAGGCTATCTCGAACTCACTCTATGTGGGTGAATGACTCACTCACTGGAAACGGCGTGAGCACAGGTGTAAGGCTGGCCGCAGAGGAGCTGGCCGGCCAGCGGCGGAGGCGGAGGCAGAGGGCAGCTCTCCCCCGCGCAGCCCTGCACTCCGCCGAAAGCCAAAGGTCGGGGTTAAGCCATCTGCCCAGGCTCGGTCGGGACGCGCAGGCCTGGAAGCCGCAGCCCGGCCCCGGGGGG